TCGCAATGCTCACATAACTCAGCGTAGGAATAAGTATATTTTATAGTGGACTTTGGTGTGGTCACAAATGGGAAATAGACATTGAGAGGTCAGGCTTTTGGCTACAGTGCTGTGTTATTTTCTCATCTCCTGATCAAAAGCAGAAAATTGTCAGACATGTTATATTGTATTTAATGAGATAATCTTTATAAGCCTTACATACGCTGCAGTTCAGCACTCATACCCAAGACACAGCACCAAATAAGAACTGAAGGAAAAACTTGGGTGCTATCCTGGTACTCATCTTCTCTGCTGGAATCTTCTACAGAGCTGGGTTAGAGAGGGTGAGCACCCCCACCTGCTGCCCCCCATGATGGGCTGTCCTAGTGCTAGAGCCAGTGTGAGCATGACCAGCAGTAGGCCCCATATCACACGCACATTGTGTTCAAAGGAAGAGCAGAAGGACAAATATCACAGACCACGTAGGAGTCATCTTTAAATGGCAGGATAATTGAGTATTTTCAAATCTTGGTTTAGTCTTCTTTAAAAGAAAAGGTTACTGAATACATAAAATATTTTGGATAGAATTAAGTCTCCTCTTTGAAGAAAGGTTGCTTTTTTTTTTCTAGTACAAAATGTTCTGATCGGTCATGGTAGCTCATGCCTGTAATCCCAGCACTTTGGGAGGCCGAGGAGGGCGGATCACCGGAGGTCGGGAGTTTGAGACCAGACTGACCAACATGGAGGAAACCCGTCTCTCCTAAAAATACAAAATTATCCAGGAGTGGGTGCGCATGCCTGTAATCCCAGTTATTCAGGAGGCTGAGGCAGCAGAATCACTTGAACCTAGGAGGCGGAGGTTGTGGTAGGCCGATATCACGCCATTGCACTCCAGCCTGGGCAACAAGAGTGAAACTCCATCTCAATAAAAAGGAAAAGAAAAGTTCTAGGAGGAACAAAAACACGGCAGCAGGACATGTGGATCCTGGGGAGAAAATGACCTCGAGGGGATAAAGAAGGGAGGAGAAGTTAGGTCAGGTCAGATTAAGAAGGAGGAGCCTTGAGATGCTACAGGAAACACTGTGTCATGTGCCCTGTTTGAAATGGGTTATTTCATGTCGAAGAGGTTGCCTTAGCTAGACGACTAAGACTCTGTCTTCTGTGGCCTTCCTGATGCCTTCCTTCACCATTTGTCTTCCCTCTCCACCTGGAAGAGGAACCAGCAGCAGCTGAGTCTGTGCTGTGAACACACCTTTCCACACACGCCAGCCCCGTGTCCACAGCTCCAAGATCACCTGAGGGATTCACTCAGTGGAGCTCATGTGCTTATAGTGACTCTGTTTCCTAGGTGACCTGGAAGACCTGCAGGAGGCTGTGCCCAAGCAGACATCCTTGGAGGAAGCCACAGGGGTTCACATGGTAAAGTCATCTTATTTCCTCTGAAATGGAAATTGTATTTCTCTCGGTTTCTCTCTGTTTCAATTGAACTAAGATGTACACATCTTACCATGTACGCGATAGGTGACTGACAAGAATTTCTTGGTGGGCAAATGTCAGAGTTCATTATCCACTAAAAAATGGTTTCAGATGGCATTCACATTTACAAGCTGTGTGTCAGCAGGCATTTTCCTCAAGAGAAATGCCTTCTTCTTGAGAAGTATTTGGAATAATCAAATAAAAACAATGGAAAATCTTGCACAAAAATCTGTGCCTTTCCACGAATATCTTCTAGATATCAGGGCCATTGTCTCAACCACTATTTACCATCTGTTTTTTTAATATCAAAAGGCCCGTACACACAGGACACAGCCTGGTCTGAACCTCATAGTGTTTTGTTTTTCTCTAGATGCAGGGGGACCCAGCCACACCGGCGAACGGTACGTATTCTGGGATCACCTCTCTGTTTACGTTCAAAATCTTAGTGTTGCAAAGATGACACTGTTTTGCCTGCTTTTGCTCAAGAGCCACTCTGGTTTGAGCTTTCTGCCAGAAATTAGATTTGGGAAGTTTCGTATAAAAACTACTAAGAGTCCAGTAAACAACTCTAACCATGCTACTGTCATCCTTGGAAGCAGAAGTGTCCTGTAAGGTGGGGTGGTACATCAGGGTTGGGAGGGATAGAGGAGAGAGTCTATATGGAATGATTGTGGATGTCTTTGGGAGTGTGTGTGCATTTCCCCAGATAATATGCTCCCATGTTCAGAGCACAACACAAGGATTAATGTTCAAGAAAATTTCCATCACCACTGCACAGTTTACATAAATCAACCCATTCATCCTCCAGCACAGCTGTACCTGAACATAAGTTCACTATCCCCAGTCCTCAGATGGACATGGTGCAGAGACGAATTTCCCAAGCTCTTGGTCTTTTAAATGGAAGAGGCACATGTGAA